CTGGGCTTGCATGAAGATAGCCCAGTTCTCAGGACTCAGGGCATAGACCACCACATCTTCCAGAACTACAGGACTCAGGGCATAGAATACTACAACTTCCAGAATCACTCACTTCCCTCTGCACATACCACCAGCTGAGTAAGAAGTCCTACAATGATCGTTGTCTTATGGATGGTTCTCATTGCAGGAACGATGTGGAAGGGATTTAAATATCCCCCAGGAGGGGTAAGTGTACTTTTCTATTCCTACTTTGAAACATATTCCCCTAGACTGGCAAACTAAGCACGAAAATCCAACTCTAGCAACTTCACAAATACCCTTCTGTATTTAAAAAAGTTATTGTAGCTTACCTACTTCTATTATTATTCACACTCAGAATTAGGAGAGTTCCCACTTTCATTTGCTCCTTTACTAGTATTTTATTTTTAGTTAAGTTCTTCAGCTGGAGGTAAACAATATTTCTGACCCAGTCAAAGCTTTATGACTTGGGTAGTCTCTGTTCTACTTATAGGACATTTTTAAATGGTTAACCTTTCATACCATTTCCCAAATCAGCCCACTTCAGCAACCCGAACACTTTCTTAACAGTTGTCAGTAAAAGGGTTCTGGTGGTAGATATCTTTTTTCCTCTGTACTTCTTGTCAGCTTCCATACTGCTGAGTGCCCCCAACAGCTGGCATCAGAGGAATTAGGTGAAACAGAATTGGATTCAGCTGCTCCTGCCAGCCCTTGACAAGAAGAGCAATTGCCTTATCCCCACACCCTTATCAACCACTAGGTCCACCTGACATATTTTTTCCCCCCAGACTCCCGTGGAAATAAGCAAGGACGATCCTGGTGAAGTAATGCAGCTCTGAAGGTCACCTAACTGTACAGTTCCTGTTGTTGGTTTCACATAAAGAAATTGCACATTATTTTGTCATATTTTATGCAGTTACCACAATTTTAAAGATGAACAAAGATTGATATTCTGTTAGTTCCTAATGAGACAACAGAGGGTGAGAAGCTAGTTGAGATAAATCCTTTCTGTTGTGTAGTCTCTTAAGGCTGGGATTTAATTCTCAGACACCTAGTTTTTTGTCCCCTAACCTGTATTCTTAAGGAAGGAATAGTACTTTAGACCTATTTCCCAAGTAATACCCTTCTCTTGAGTTGTGTAAAAGTGTTACAGAAAGGGCTCGAGGTTGCAGCAACTTTAAGCCTCTTCCTTGGAGATATTTTCTCTGTAGCCTTTTCACAGCTATTACTAAGAACTTAAAGCTTGTGCCATGTGCAGAAAGATCCTCATTTTAATACTGAAGCTAGATTCTAAAGCATACATTACTTTATTCTTTACAATAACCTCCTGAAGCTGAATGTTAGTCACTTTTTACAAAGTGGCATAAACAAGGTTAGGAAGCTTAAGTACCTTGCCAAATACACAGCGCTGGGTCAGTCAAGATTAAAATCCAGGCCTTTCCCAATGCATGCCTTTCTTTGTGCCAAGGCAAGAACTGGGATATCTAGGATCTTGCTATCTAAATATCTCCCTTACCTGAAAACTGAAGTTGCCCAATGATTCTCTTGCAGTGAGTTATAAAACCAGGGATGGAAACCTAAGACCTATGCAATTAAAAACTCAGGTGTCTGAGCCCTAGGATTTTTAATAAGCCTTCTAAAGGTGGTTTGAGGATTTCATTCTCATCGAGAGAGAGAGAGAGAGACAGAGAAAGAGAACAGGAGCTTGGAGGTGACTGTTACACTGTTCAAGAGAAATGCACCCTTTTCCATGTCTAATAAACTATTAGTAAGTGGCTCTCTGCCGTGAATGGAATACCCTTATGGGAAGAATTCAAAACCCATAAACACAATTGTTAGTAAACTCTGAATCTAGGATACTAACATCTCCTGTATTTACTTGTACAGACTCAACACATTCCAGTCAAATACCTACATTCTCTGGCTGCATGGCTGTGCCCATTTGCCTAAGGTATAACCCTACAGAGTTATCTTTTCAGCATCTGAAGTTCTTATTATTTGGGATCAGAACCTGCTCATTTTGACAAGAGGAACTATATACCCAGCTCTGCTTCTTCCCTCCAAGTTGAATAAACTCAAAAATTAAAGCCACGAAGCTAGATTCTATTGCTCTAATCCACCCTACAGTTCTCCTAATTTGGGTGTCTGAGAGCACAAGGGTACTCTAAGCTGGTACTGGGAGGAAAGATATCAGTGGTAAGGGCTAAACAGACATGACTAAATAAGGGATGTGCGGAAGAGTGTGTACAGCAGACAAACCCAACCTCTGAAGTTGATTGAGGTCTGACGATATTTCTGCGGAAATACGTTCAAGTTGATGATAAAGTAACTCAAGTTTTGAGCAAATTAAATGCAACCAGTAGAGATTCAATAAAATGACTTTTTATGCCTACTTTCTTATATTACATATTGCCATTCACTGTATTTGCAAAGTATATTCTCTTGCAGCGTCAACGCACAGAAAACCAAGGCTAAGCTCTGTAACAGGTTTTCTTAACTTTGATTCTGTCCAGTATGTAGACATTGGTGATTACTAATCTCAAAAGATCTATATTCCATCTTATTACATAAACACCTGATATTTATTTCTCACATCCACTCACAAAATAAATAGTCTAATCAGCACACTGAAATAAAACAACCAGTCTCTTTTCATATATTTATTCTCTTCCAAAAATGTTTGGTCTTCTGCTATATCTCAGAAATGTACTAATAGCTGCTTTTTTAAGTTACAAATACAAATAAAATTTTTTCTTGGAGAAAATCTTGGGGATTATTTAAAAATGAAATTTTGAGTTCCCATAGACTTTTCTTTTTTTGTTATAGTCTTTGAATTTCCTCATGGCACACATGTAAGGCTGCCTGACATGTGGTACCCTGGCCTCCAAATGGACATACTTGCATTTATAGTTTAGAGAAAATACAAAGACAAGTTCTGAAAGTAGCCTTAAAAGAAAGTGCCCTTTGCTTTGATATAGCAACATCAGAAGCAAGTGGGACTGTGCAATCAGAGCCATGAGTTTTATGAAAACTACTTTCCTTAACATAATTTGTGTTAGAGATGCCACACCATGATCATGTAACATTACAATTGTGGAACAACATTACTACATTCGTGAATTAATATTACCCAATAAAAGGCACATCTTCAAATACTGAATTAAGAAAATCTTGAAATCAAAACATTAAATATCAAGCACTTAATTTGTAAACCTTGATAAAATAACAGCCTATTCAGTTTCTTCAAAGGCTGTGAACATTTTAAAGAGTGGTCAGGAAGTAAAGAACACAAAATGGAAGACAGGATTTGGAAACAAGGCCAACATTAATTCAAAAGACTGATAACTTTTAAAAAAAAATAAGCCACAGAAGTATACTTTTATAATATTGATGCAAATTAGCATCTAGTATAGAAACACATACTCAGAAGTGACAGACATTTCAACCTGACTCTTCCTACCATGTTCTAGACTTGAATCTAGCACAATGGTTCCTTTCTGTACAAATAACTTACATATCATTAAAAGTTAGTAACTTTAAACCACCAGAAATCTTTTGGCTATGACAAGCACTTGATTGTATTACAGATTTCAGAGTCTGAATATTGAAAATATTCATATTCTCAAAAAATATACCTTAAGAAAACCATTTGAAGGGAGGAAAAGCACATAAGTGATGACAAAGATAATAATGTTCCTAACCTATTTTATTAAATGGAATATCATACTACCCTTAAATCAATTTCACTGAAGGTATGTGAGATAGGTAAGAGGAAATCAGTAGGATTTTCTATTGCCAGTGTAGAAGATCTTTGTGAAGAGTTAGGGAGTCAATGCCTAGTGATTAAGATATCTTTCATGGTTTCAACTTTAAAATTAAATCCTTGCACTTGCAAACTCAATTCAAAATAAATTAATCTTAAAGACTGGGTCACATGGTCCCATTATGGAAGGCTAACAATGGTAATCTCTAATACCCAAGTTCTTGGATAAAAATATACAAAATATTTGGACCTGTTGAAGAGTAAGGATTCTTTATAGATCAACCCCTCCTACTTCCTACTTTTCCTCACTGTTTAATGGCTTAACGATAGCCAGAACACTTAGTAGAATTGCCCTACAGGTTAGTTCTGACTGCTCCAACCCTCCACATTTAGAATCAAGGACAAATGCTCTCTAGCATCATAACTCATTTTTTTTGCTGACTGTCCTTTGAGATTTGGCTTCTTTTAAGCTGTATCCTAGGTCAGCCTGACTAAAGCTGCCTGGACTTGAGACTTAAGTGATATAAAGTCTATAGGTCTGACTTAGGGAAGGATAAAAATGTAACTCCCATAGCCCAGTAAAACACCAGCATAGGAAACATCCTTTTCTATCTGGGGAAAAAAAAAAATCTCTTCACAGTGCATAGTTTGAAATAAAAGTGCAGTATGGGCAAAAAGAGAAGGTGGTACTCTTGATACACACAAATTTAGTTTTTGGTTTTTTGCCATTTGCTAGGAATTTAAGTTAGAAATGCAAAATAGTTAATATCAAGAGGTGCAGGGGTACCTTGGGATTCCAAAATATCTTTATGATGGGAAAGGAGAATAGGGAGGGGAGCATCACATGTCATGTTCTTATTTTTTAAACTATTACAGTTTCAAATCTAGTGTTTGAATAACTTTTTCTTCAATATAAAAATGAATTTTTAAAGAAACTCAATCAGCACAGTGACCTTATCTATTTTACACTAAAGTCAACGAAACAATAAATATGAAAGGAAAACTTGGAAAAAATATTCTTATACTGGCATAACTTGTATTTTAACTTTGAAATTTTTTTATTAATTGCTTAATCTAAATAAGAATGCTTAGCATCCAATCCACAAGTAATGCAGAATACAATATAATTTATTCTATTTTGTACTTCAAAGTCACAAGGATGATATCCATGTGATAATTATAAAGCCTACTCTACATTTTTGAGTTCTCAATTCAAACATAGGATAGGTCACTTTTATTGCTGGCAACATTCATGGAAGGGCCAGGTTCCTCATAACGACAGTAAGTTTGATTAGGAGCCAGGCAGTGCCCTACTCACACATCAACAGAATTGTAAGGAGTCAAAAGGCAGTTGGTTTTTAAAAAACCTTTTAAAGTAGCAAAGGAACAATAAAAAGATTGGATGACTGGTGAGTGGCCCCATATTAGAGTGCATAGCTCATCAGGATCAAGGCTGGTATCTGAACAGTTAACTTCTAAGACCATACAGCAGGCATTATATCATCTGCATTACGGATTTTACCCTGAAGTATCTGAAAATACTTTATGCTCAAATGACAGCCTGCAAATGACAGTATGAATTCCTTCTCCTTGAGTACCCAAATATAAATCTAAAATGATAAGGGGGGGCTTATTCAGTCTGAAGGCAGGAAAATCCTTGCAGCAGTGTTCCCAGAATTTCACAAAAATAAATCAAAGCAGCAGCTAACATCTCTTCAGTTTCTTGGCCTTTCGACGTTTCATTTCTTCTTCTTCACGTCTCATTTCCTCTAAGTCCTCTTGCATACCTAGTCTTAAACTGTTAAAAAAGAAATTAAGTAGTATTTGTTAGTATACATGAGATTACCACTTTAAAAAAAAGCAAAAAAGAAATTTCAACTGGAAGCCCGCATGAACTGTGATGATGTGGCTTCACCATTAAAAAGAAACTAACATGTGCTGGTGGAGTGGCTCAAGCAATAAGGGTGCCTGCCTAGCAAGCATGAGGCTGAGTCTAAACCCCAGTGCTGACACGTTCTCCCCCCATCCCCCCTCCCCCCCCCAAAAAAAAGTGGGATTTTTTTCCCCCAATATACCAGGACCATAGAACCTGTAGAAGAAAGAGAGTTCACAATGAAAAACACCTAAAGATTTTTCATTAAATTAATATATAAATTTATCTCAAAAGCTTTTAAAAACAGGGCTGGGGATGTAGCTCAGTGGAAGAGCACTTGCACATTTGCACATTAGGCCCAGTGTTTTATTGAGAGAGAGAGAGAGAGAGAGAGAGAGAGAGAGAGAGAGAGAGAGAAATCTTTTAAAAGTAAAAAAAGAAACATTTATTCATTAATAATATCATATTCCTTCTCAACACTCAGTTTGACGTTTTATCTAGTTACAGGATGGGAGGCCAAGGAGAAAGAGGCTCCTCTAACATTAGTATGTTTTACATGGGGGGAACTGTAAGTACCTTGTATATACATTATCTTGATCCTCACAATACCTCAGTGAATGGAACAGTATATTCTTATTTCACAAATGAGAAAACATTTAGAAAGGCTAAAGAATGTGTCAAAGGCCCTCACAGCTAATTGGCAGGATTTTAATCCACAATTCTGTGCACCAAAGCTCCTGTTACCAATGTTGCAAATGTAGCAAAAAGCAGAAAATGTTTGGACATCTTTGCATAAATCTATTCAGTTTTGTGCTTACCTCTTTGCTTCTTCTTTTTGCTGTTCTTTCCAACTACTCTCCATGTAACGTAAGGCATAATCACTTTCATCTTTGTATCTGGTAAGAGAAAATAAAAGTTGTAAAAAGAAAACAAAGAAAATTAATTTTCTAAAGGATCTATACCTTCTCAACTTAAAAAATCAACATCTTGACTGGTGAGGAGTGGCTCAATGGTAGAGTGCTGCTAGCAAGCGTGAGGCCCTGAGTTCAAACCCAATACCACCAAAAAACCCCAATATTTTAAACTAAATCAAACACATTTTTAGGATTACTCCTCACTGCTTGGCAGCAAGTGAGGGGGAGATAATGAGCAGAGTGGGTTTCTGAAATAAAGACTTCTTTTTTTTTCTTTTCGAGCACTGAGGTTTGAACTCAGGGCCTCGCACTTGCTAGGCAGGCTCTCTACCACTTGAGCCATCTACCAGCACTTTTTAATTGGTTTTTTTTTGAGATGGGGTCTCAGGAACTATTTACCCAGGGTGATTCCTGATCTCTGCTCCTGAGTAGCTATAATTATGGCTGTGAGCCACCAGTGCCCACTGACCTTTCAAATGGCTAATTTCTCATTGCATAAATCTATTCAGTTTTGTGCTTACCTCTTTGCTTCTTCTTTTTGCTGTTCTTTCCAACTACTCTCCATGTAACGTAAGGCATAATCACTTTCATCTTTGTATCTGGTAAGAGAAAATAAAAGTTGTAAAAAGAAAACAAAGAAAAATTCAATTTTCTAAAGGATCTATACCTTCTCACTTAAAAACATCAACATCTTGGACTGGTGAGGAGTGGCTCAAATGGTAGAGTGCTGCCTAGCAAGCGTGAGGCCCTGAGTTCAAACCCCAATACCACCAAAAAACCCCCAATATCTTTAAACTAAATCAAACACATTTTTAGGATTACTCCTCACTGCTTGGCAGCAAGTGAGGGGGGAAGATAATGAGCAGAGTGGGTTTCTGAAATAAAGACTTCTTTTTTTTCTTTTCGAGCACTGAGGTTTGAACTCAGGGCCTCGCACTTGCTAGGCAGGCTCTCTACCACTTGAGCCACTCTACCAGCCCTTTTTAGTAATTGGTTTTTTTGAGATGGGGGTCTCAGGAACTATTTACCCAGGGCTGATTCCTGATCTCTGCCTCCTGAGTAGCTATAATTATGGCTGTGAGCCACCAGTGCCCACTGACCCTTTCAAATGGCCTAATTTCTCATATCCTGGAGCTTCTAAGGAGGTAGTAATTACTCATGTATAGGGACTGCAATAGGTCTTGTTTGTTTTACATATATACTACCTCATCTAATCCTTTCAAAAGGTCATTTTTAAAATAATTTACTTGGGCTAAACGTGTGTAGGGTGCCTGCCTAGCAAGCATGAAGCCTTGAGTTCAAACACTAGTACCAGAAAAAAAATTCATTCAGGTTTATCTAGCTACTAAGTGGTGAAACTTTATTTCAAACTCTGATTCTTTCCTTTATATCACCATTTCTTTTTTTTTTATATCACCATTTCTTACACTTTAATGTACATATATATGAATCACCTGAGGACTTTATAAAACAGGTTTGGATTCAACAGGACTAAGGTGGGGACTGAAAGCCTGAATTTTAAACAAGCTCTTAGGTATACCAATGCTGCTGGTTCCAAACTGTAACCCAGAGACCACATTTGTATGTAGCAAAATCTTTTGCACAAAAGAAAAGCAGGTATCAGAACTGAATGGCTTTCTGACTTCAAAGCCAATCTATTTCTATTATATGAAGCTGCTTCACTCTCCTTAAATATATCTCTTATAAGGACAACAGTTTAAAAGGGGTATTTTTTTGGCCCTCCTGCAAATAACTACACAAACTATTCTGAACTAATTTAAAAATATTAAGTGTCAAAAGAGCAATCTGTTTAAAACAACTATCACCCAAAAGCTTCTAATTAAGCACTGTATTCAATGCCACTACTACTGTTTATTTCTCCTCCATATTGTGAATTATTCAAAATTAAAAATATATTAAGCCAGGCAAAGTGGAACATGCCTGTAACCCCCGAACACGAGAGGCCAAAGCAGGAAGACTGCCAGGTTTATTTAGCTAAATATTCTTTAGCCTTACTTTTTTCGGTCATAGCCAAAGATTTCCCGAATGTGTTTGGATATTTCTTCCTGAGGCTCCCCTTCATCTTCAATAAAATCATCCATTTCAGAGTCATATTCATCATCATCATCATCATCATCTTCATATTCTCTCTGCCTTTTGTAACCAGTAGGGAAGGGAAGTCTTTGAGGACCTATGAGCAGAAATAATTACTTGTAAGAACATTAGATCTTAACATGTTTCCAGCACAATTCTATGTTAATTGTGATTCTGAGAAATTATTAAGGCAGTATCCTTAAAAACTAGAAGAAGCAGGCTGGTTGTCAGGATGGCATCATTACTTTATCCCTGCTGTATATGGTATTCAGAAAAACAGAATGTCTAGGGCTTAGTAGAAATGTCTTGTTACATTTTCTAGTTTAGTAGTACCCATACTTCTGGGATTTAAGAGATCAGTAAAATTTCCAAAAATGAAAAGAAGCTACAACTGCCACAGGATCATTAACTTTAATTTTGCCAAGACATCCAAAGTAGCACACTTCTATTTTTGAGCATAATCATTTCATTTAAAAATTTTAAATTTAGTGTCCAGTTATTAGGGAAGCTGGGATAGGAGGATCACTTGAGCCCAGGAGTTCAAGGCCAAACTGGGCAACATAACAAGGAAAAAAAAAACTAAGTCCAAAGTACAAGAGTCCCAGAATTATAGAAAATTAATCAAACTGAGTAACTATGGAAAAACTCACTTCATTATTTTTGCCACTTTTCCAAAAGACTGATAAAATAGGCACTGGTCAGTGTACCAGTATCTAGGAACAACTACTTTCTAGTCTTTAGTTACAGACACTTCTCCTCTTTTCCTACAGTAGTTTTTAACATGCATTTCCTGTCTTCCCTAGTTCAGAACTTCTCAACCTCAGCACTGCAACACTTACAACCAGAAATTCTGTGTTATAGGGCTGCCCTGTGCATTTTGTGTTAGTAGCATCCCTAGCCTCTATCCTAATGCCAGTAACATCTTCTGTCCACAGTTATGACAATCAAAAATGTTTCCAGACAATACCCAGGGTGGGGGAGGGGGGAACCACCCTTGGTTGATAATCAATGATGTAGTTAAATTAGTAAACTTAAAGCCAGGAATTCTATCATTGGTTTATTTTTATATTCTACACAGTGTCTAACCAGTGCTTAAACAACATGCTTTAATATACCTATTAGCTTGTAGTAAGCAAGCAGTTGCCACCAAAGATCCTGTACCTTGGGACAATACATTCCTAAAGCGCCAGTGGTTAGGATCTTGATACTATCCATTACATGGAACAAAAGCACAGGGACAGTCTAAAAAATCCCAGTATTTAACTGGTGCTTAACAAATTTTTGCTAAATGAACAAGGCACCGAAGGCTTAAGTTTACAATTACACGCTGATCGCTGAACACAGGTCTCTTTAGTCTTCATGATAAAGATTAATTTTTCCACCAAACCATATAAGGCATGTACAGTTACCTTATCTTACAAACCACAAAGCTAAGTTTATTACACTTGGAGACACTGCAGGGGGTTAACACAGTGAACCCTAGGTAAGAGTCTCTTTTTCTAAAGACTTTTTCAAACCACAATCATTACAGGAATTCTCAGGCACAGGGCAGACAAAATAAGATTTTATCAATACTAAAGTATATTAATAGGAACAAGGAAGGGTCTCTGGCTATGAAAAACAAAGTACTCTTCAATTTCCTAGTGAAAAGTATATACTCTTTAGGATGAGGGTCAATTTTACCTTGGGCAGATCTGTAGCCAGATAGAGGAGGCCTCATTCCATTCATCTGTCCATTGTTGGACCGACTAATAATATTCTTAGAAGAAATTGTCTCTGAGACAACAGTACACTTGGGCTTTGTGGGAGGACCTGGGCTACTAACTGTTCGCCCAGGTCCTAAACTGCTAACTGGTCTTCCAGGACCTGAAATACTGACAGTTCGTCCAGCTGGAACTGAGCCACTTACAGATCGCCCGGGGCCATTGACTGACCGCCCAGGGGGGCCTAAACCACTCACTGGTCGTCGAAGGTCATGTGGACTGCTTACAAGCCTCCCTGGGCCTCCAGAGCTGCCCACAGGTCTTCCAGAGCTACCTGAGCCACTGACAGGTTGTCCAGGGCCATTTGAGCCGCTTGCAGGTCGTCCAGGGCCACTTGTACCATAGACTGTCCTCCCAGAGGGATGTGTGTCACTGGCTAGTTTCTTGGTCCCACTGACCGACCGCTCAGGTCCTGAGCTGGAGCTGCCATTCTGGCGCCTGGGCAGAGGGCCAGAACTATGTGTGGGCCGAGTAGTTCCCATGCTGGGCCGCCCAGGGGCTGAGCTTGAGTTACTGCCTGGCTGCCTGATACCTGGACTCTTAGTCTTATTGTGTGGGGTAACCATCAACCCAGGCTTGGAATGGCTAGGGTGGGAAAGAGATTTTTTGGCTTTGTGCTCAGTAACAGATTTCTGAGTCCCACTAACAGAAGTCTTTGGGACACTTAGTGAATAGGTGCTAGAGTGGGGCTTTCTAGCCCCATTGAAAACAGGTCTGTCATGACCCTCACGAACTGAGGGTTGGAAGCTATTGCTAGATCCTGCCTTGGTCCTCTCTCCTGGCATGAATTTGGATGAAGACAAAGCTGAGTGTTTCTCATTGCCCGGGCTGGGTTTGGATTTCTTCTCAGCATGAGGAAAGGGTACTCCCTTTGAAGGATGCCTGTCCCCAGAACCTTTGCTAAGTTTTGTGCCCACACTTTCTTTCTGAGAGGGTACCTTTTTGGACACAGTTGGAGGTAGTTTTGCATCTGTCTCAGGTTTCTTTTTCCTATGCTTTCGTTCAAGGAATTCACGCTCCCTAAGTTCTTCTGCAGTCATAGGCCGCTCTTCCGATTTCTTCACTACCTTGATCTCCACTGGCTCAAACTGCTTTTTCTCAGCCAGCCTCAGTAAATCGGTGAAGTTCATGGGTGGTGGGGCACTTTTAAGGGGGACCTTTGGTTTGCTTTCAGCTTTGGGAGGTTCTTGCTCTTCTTCATACTCCTGCTCTGACTCTGCTTGATTGTATTCAAAAAATTCATTCTCTTCTTCCACCTCATAGTCTCGGTCTGTTCCCTGGCTAGTATGGCTTTCTACTGCCTGCCTCTTCTTGGACTTTTCCTCTATAGGAATCCCATTGTAACCATGGAAATTATCTTTAGTCCTCTTGGCCATAGCTCTCGCTTTCTTGTCATGTTTGAGTTCAATTCGCTTCTTCACTAGTTCTTCCTTCCTCCTTTTTTCTTCTAAAGCTAAAAGGAACAAAACGAGAATATTATTTCAAGGTATCAAGACAGCAGTATGCTCTTCTGAAATCAGTTGGTGCCAAAGCACAATGTTCAAGTTACAGTTTGAAGATATCTAAGAATCAAATTAGGAAGTCATTTGAACAAATACCAACTGAGTCATCTTTACATAATGAATGGGTCATATATGAGTTTTTCTCAATGATTAAGCAAGTGGAAGGCTTGGTTTTCAGTTTTAAATACAGAAAATGGTTCATACCAAATAAATACACTAAGTTAAGGGAACATTAGTACCCACTTAGAAGTTGTTAATAATTATAAATCAATAAATACTTAAACTTATTGAACTGTAATTTGCATGAAATTAAAACTTCTTAAGCTTTTTGGTTAAAAAAAATTCCTGTTCTACATTTTCAGATGGAACTCTTATTATTAAGATATATATAACATGTAGAAATAGTTTCAAAATCAGTGTTAAAGAATGGATCTCTTAGTGGCCAATTAAAATGGTCACTAACTCTAATAAGGCAGGCTTTTGCTACTGTTTTTTTGGTGGGACTGCGGTTTGAACTCAGGGCTTTGCACTTGCAAAGCAGATGCTCTACTGCTTGAGCCACACCTCCAGTTTATTTTGCTCTGGTTATTTTGGAGATTGGGATCTTGCAACTATTTAGCCAGGATGGCCTTGAACTTTGGTCTTCCTGATCTCAGCCTCCAAGCTAGGATTACAGCTCTGAGCCACCAGTGCCCATCTTTTTGTTGTTTTTAAGGACAGGGTCTCACTATGTTACCTGGCTGGTCTCAAGGTCCTGAGCTCAAGGAATCCTCCTGCCTCAGTCTCCTCACTAGTTGGGACTATAGGCATATGCCACTATGCTGGGCTCCAAAAGCTTTTAATTTAAGGCAGATTAAAACAAATGACCAATATATGAACATATATAAAGCCATAAAGTTAACCCAGAAGCACATATATGCACTATCCCAAATCTACTGGCTTGTTATATTACCCACTGGTTCAGTACAAACTAGATGCAAAGGTGCAAGACTTTAAAATTGAGAATAAGGCTATAGACACATACCTTTTCGTCTAACCTCCTCTTCTTTCCTTCTAAGAAAAGCTTGTACAGCTGCTGATTGGACACCTTTAACTTTTGGGTCTTTCTTGGGAGGCCCCACTGCCAAACTATACCTTTTCTAAAAATAGAAACAGAGTAAAAGCTATAAGCAATCCAACTTTACAAATATATTGGGCTAGAGGCTAGCAAAGGAGTGGGAGTGGGTAGTGTAACTCAATGATACAGTGCTTGCCTGGCATGCACCAGACCAGGTTAAATCCCCAGCAAACACACACACACTCACACCCACACACACCGCCCCCCCCACGAGCTTTCCTCAGAACTAAGCACTTCAAAATCCAACTTTTCAGACAGACATAAAAAACTAGTCCTCACAATTGTGTTTTCTTCTGACTACACTACACTAGATGATTTTGTGGTAGGGACTCAGAGCCGCACAGGTTATTTTACATAGATCACAGAAAGACTGAAATTTTAATTTTATCATAGGCAAAGGCTAGGAGCAAATCATAGCTAAAAAGCATTTTAAAGAAATCTTGTTTGGGGGAGGTAAGTAGGGTGCTGGTGGCTCATGCCTATAATCTTAACTATTTGGGAGGATGAGACTGGAAATCTCGGTTCAAGGGCAGCCCAGGCAAACAGTTCACAAAACCTATTTCCACAATAACCAGAGCAAAATGGACTGGAGGTGTGGCTTGAATAGTAGAGCGCCTGCTTAGCAAATGCAAAGCCCTGAGTTCAAACCCCAGTCCCACCAAAAAAAAAAGAAATCAGGGGCACTGCAAACATGGTCAGTGGTAGAACACTTGCCTAAAATGTGTGAGATCCTGGGTTCAATCCCTTGCATTGCAAAAAAGAAAACAAAAGGAAAGGAGAAAGGAGAGAGGAAAGGAGAGAAAGAAATCTAAACAGAGTGAGGGGCCCAATTCTCTGAAATCTTTAAATGTAGCTCATTCATTAAATATGGAAAAATATTTCCATTTCATACCTATTGTTAGAGAAATATGATAAACACAGACCTAATACCTCAAACCAGGGATAAGTCATCTCTAGGACCATTTCGCATTAAGTTTACAGGCTAGGAAATAAGTTTGTTGTACTTTATCACTAAGCTCCCAGCACTGAAAATAAGATTTTAAAACATCCTCACTCCTTTGTCTTGTTAGGCAGATGCCATTCTTATCTATTGCACCTGGTACTGTGCTAGTAGAAAAAGAAACAATCTCTGAGAACAAAGTGAGCAATTTATAAACCAAAAATGTATTCCCACAAGTGTATGAAATTCTTGGAGGAAAGCCAAAGGATCTGTGCTCACTGTAAGGCTGCCAAAAACAAAGTATCTTGAAACAGGCTGAAGTTCCAACTAAATTAGTCTACCAAGAAAGCAGCTGGCCAAGGAGGCAGGCCCTAATCCAACCTGAAAATCCTGCATGATAGCAATACTGAGAACTGACACATCCCTGATGGAGAAACCCCAAGACAGTATTCAATTTTTTTTTTTTCACCCAGTCAACCTGGCTAGGACACAATGTGATCTCTTAATTAATCCACATCTTTGTAAATTTAACTGTAGACTTTTTTCCATAGAGGACAGAGGATCAATATTTAAGGGAAAAAGGGAGAAGAAAAGGAAAATTGAGAGTTCGAAATAATATTGCTAACCTAACTAGATATATAAAGTTGTCCTAGTTTACAAAAAGAGAAATTCAAGCCTAAGCCTTACCCACAATACAAGCATTTCACTGAGGAAATGCTGTATGTCACCTAAAATCATGGTACAGCCAGGCCTACACCTACCTACATGTACAATTCCTGATTCAAGTTAAGACATACAAAGACCCATATATACAGGCTCCCAGATTAATTCCACTTTATCCCATCAGGAAGTTTTAGAAGAACAATGTTGGATTTTTGTTGCCAAGACTTAAGATTTCCTTTCCCTGCCCAACTACATATATATAGCTCATAGGGTTGGGGAATATAGCTCAGGGGTAGAGCACTTGCCTAGATAAAGAACCCCTGGGTTTCATCTTCAACACACACACACACACACACACACACACACACACACACACACAAAACCTGTCATAAATTCACCTGTCAAATCAAAGCTTTAAACATAAGCATTGTCATTACTCATTTAACAGGACTAGTTTGCTGTCTAGGTTACATAGCACTGTGTACCACCTAACATAATTCTGAGGTAGTTATTTTTTGGCCTAACCTGGGACTCCAAGGGATAAAAACTGGAATGACTACCAGAAAAGTTGCTTTTGAATAATTATTGGTACTCAAAAGGAAAAGTGTCAATGAGACATAGTTTATTAATACAGTGTTTAGTAACCTTCATGATTATTTATTTATTTTATTTATTTTGTGGTACTAGGGCTTGAAGTCGGGGCCTACCCCTGGAGCCACTCTACCAGTCCTTTTTTTTGTGATGGTTTTTTTTTGAGATAGGGTTTCGTGAACTATTTGCCCAGGCTGGCTTCCAACCTCAATCCCCCTGATCTCTGCTTCCTAAGTAGCTAGGATTACAGGTGAGAGCCACCAGTGCCAGCCATGACCTACTGTTATATTGCTGAGGTAGAGCTCAGTGTCTCAATAAAATGCCTGGCTTGAAAAGCCATAGTTTTCCATTTCACATCAAAATATGTTACTAATATGACAGAATATATCTGTATATCACCTAAAACCATGGTATGGCCAGGCCTATATGTACTGCCCTTTAAGAAACACTGACTTAGGGAACAAAAATACAGGAAAGGCAGAAAAACAAGGAAAGGGGTATTTACTGAAAAGAATTATAAAGACCACTTTTTCTGGCTTTTTTCCCCCCCCAAAATATCAATTCTTATCAATTCACATGCACATTTCAAATTCTGCTTTAAAAAAAAAAACACTAATTTTTAACTTTATTTTTTGCAGTACTGGGCTTGAATTGAGGGCCTTATTCTTGATAGGCAAGTGCTCTACCACTCAAGCCACGCCTTCAAGACTTTAAATACCACTAAATCTTAAGGATATTTAAACTGGCCTCACATTTCATCCAACAACTGTTAACAGTACTTTTTCCCTTTCCCCTATAGTGCAGAAAGAATTTAACAACTCTATAAAATATCTACTTTATGAATCTGCTAGGAAACAACTTAAAAAACAAGCTATAGGGTCAGGACAATAAATACTGCTGTGATGAGGTTTGACCTTGCTTATACAAACTGACTCATACTTGATAGTTCATTTCCTCTGACACTTGAAAACGCACTCAAAGCATAGTTACCTAGAAATATTAAAACATTTTCTCAAAGTTTAGGTCACAACCTAGAAATATGGAGTGAAGAGATCACCATACTTGTTTTGCAGTACTGGGGAAAGAATGACTTACACTTTAAAGCACTCTACCTTTTAAGCCCTTTTAAAAACATCTTTGAGATGCAATTCACATGTCATAAATGATTTTTAGTATATTCACAGAGTTGTACAAACATCATACTGACTTCAGGACATTTTCATCATCTCAAAAAGAAATCCCCTTTTTTTTTGAGTGAGGTCCCTGGCAACAACTAATGTTCTGTCTCTCTGTATTTGCCTGTTCTAGACTTTCATACTAATGAAAGCATACAATACAAGTTTGTATGTTACCTTGTCTAAACTATAACCCCCAGTTATTTAACCAGACACTAATCTAGATGTTGCTATGAAGGTGTTTTATAGATGTGATTAACATCTATAATCAATTGACTTTATAGAGCAGATTACCCTCCATAATGTGAATGGGTCATAGCCAATCACAGCAGGTCTTTAAGGTTTATCAGAGAAGGAATTCTAAAGACTCTATCAACTGCTGTCTCATTTTCTAACCTGCCCTACAAACTTAACAGGACCAATAATTAACTCTCTAAAATAAATTCTATTGGTTTTATTTCTGTGGAGAACACTGATATAGTAGCCTTTTGTATTTTGCTTAGATTTAGAATAATGTTTTCAAGGTTCATGTTGTAACATGAATGAATATCTCATTCCTTTAATGACTGAATGACTTCATTGTACAGATATACAACATATTTATTCATCAGTTGGACATCTACATTGTCTCTGCCTTTTGGCTATTATGAATAGTGCTGCTATAAACATTTTTGTACAAGTCTTATGTGGATGTATATTTAAATTGCTCTAGGGTATGTGACACAGAAATTAACACTAAGCTGGCTAGACCTTTCAAAGAGGGGGTTGCAACACAACCCTTGCATTAAAAGATTTGTTATAATGGAAGATTTTGTAAGACAGCACTCCAACCTCAGGGGGAATGATATTTAAAAAAAAAAAAAAAGGTCTCAGGCTGAGAGTATATTACATTCTATTTAATGATGGCACAAGAGGGCTAGAGGTATAGCTCAAGAGGTAAAGTACTTGCCTAACAAGTGCAAGGCCCTAGGTTCAAACCCTAGTACCATCATCAAAGATGATGATGATGATGATGATGATTATGATGATGATGAATGCACAGGAGGACTATCTGGCATTTCTCCTATGTCAGATGGTCGGTCATATGTACCTCTAGCAGCAGCACATCAAGATGCACCCATTAATTCTGATTCTGATTCAAGGCACCAGGCTGCTTCATTGTTTGAGATTCATGAAAAGCAGCTAGACAAGAGTTTCTTTTATCCTAAGCATATCCATTCTATTACACTACAAGCCAACTCTGTCATTCTGTTGGACCCCAATGAATGATTCACAATAGTGGTGCTTATGTCATTTAAATGCAGAACCAGAGGTTGCCAACACCTGTAATTCTGTAGCCAATAGACCTAGAAAATATGAAGCCACTTTAAAATATGTGTCCCTTGCACTGAAACTACACTGTCAAGGTCAGATTAAGAGATCAAATTAAGAAAATAAGGAGCTTTTGACCTGAAATTACATATTTAGCCAACTATGACAGAATCAATAGTTAATCCCTCTTTGAAAGCTGTTTTTTACTCAGGAGGTAACATTCTGTTACCATTGTGGAAAATATAAATTTCCTGATGAGCTTATATAAGTTAAAATTATTGTTGGTTAGAATTAGAAATAGTCAAAGAAAATATCCTTAAGTTTAATAAACACATAATTTTT